AGACAGACAGACAGACAGACAGACAGACAGACAGACAGACAGACAGACAGACAGAAACAACAGAGGGACAGAAAAAAGTAGGACCTACCCGTGGCACCCTCCAACCATCAACTATTTAAAAGAAATTCAGTAAAGAAGTGAAAGGAGCTGACCACATAATGTCTACATAACATTGACAAAGAAATCACAAGACAAAAAAGTTTTAGCACTCAAAAACACAAAAATTTTAATTCACAGTTCGATGTCAAGTAGGCAACATTCTCTTCAGACAACAGAAAAATTTGTTAGTTTAAGTAAAAAGAATCACATCAATTCTGTAAAGATCATACCATCATTTAAGTGCTCTACTGCAAAACATAACATGTGGCTTGCTTGACCCATGCTTTTTCACTGTGAGCCAAATTTAGCAGCTCAAAAAAACAAATCTCTTCAGCTCAAGAGTCTTCAAACTCACACAGATAATTACTTATAATGTCCCACACCATCAGATAGGAAATTCATTTTCTTGCATTTTGACATGTACCAATTGTGACTTTCCCCAAGCCAAAATTAGAGAGAAGAAATTATATTTTATTCCAGTAACAGAAAGGAAAAACTGGACACCAGAATGGCATGATCACGGTTAGGAAAATGGTATGATATGGAAAGAGATGATGCTAGGAAAAAACAAGATTAATACACAGGAACGACAGAAGGGAAAAAGATCCTTACCTGTTCACTTTTGTTGGAATGTGCAAAAAAGAACTCTCCTCCTTCAAAGTCAGCATTCAGGTAAAGTATGGCACTAGAAAGGAGGGGAGGGGTGGAGGGTGGGGGGAGGGAAGAGGAATAAAGAAAAAAAGATCCATGAAGCGACTGTCAAGGGAAATAAACCCCTTGTCACTTAGCATGAATAAACAACATCTTGACGGTTCTAGGCCCAATTTATTCCTAACATTAAAGAACAGGATTCCTTTATTGCTAAAAATCCAACAAGGGACAAAAAGAAGGAAAAAAAAAGTAAGGCTAACCAGCGGCGTCTTCCAACCATTTGCAAACTAGCTAGAACAGAATGCATCATTCAAAAGGTCTATACTGGAGCTCGAAGTCGTTAACTGGCCTCATCAACAAGGGGGAGGTTACGGCCTCCCTCCCCTTATACAACAAATGGGTTAATTTGCCGAGTATTGATATGTGCCTTTTACAAAAAACACTAGTGCCTTTGATAAAGCAATTTGACCGTAAAATAATTAAAGTATATATTATAATGTATTAAATGATATTCTCATTGCTCTCTATTCCCCCCCCCCTCTCCCTCTCTTTCCTTCTCTCTCTGTCTCTCTTTCTCTCTCTCTATTTCTCCCCTCTCTCTGTCTCTCTCTGTCTCCCTCTGTCTCCCTTCTCTCCTCCCTCCCTCCCTCTCCCTGTCTCCCTCCCTCTCCTTGTTTCCCTCTCCCTCCCTCGCCTATAGTCTCTCTGTGTAAAGGCTGGGTAGTCCTTGGTACAGGATCTATCAGGCTGTGACAGACAATTGTCCACATGTCTGCCTCCCATTCTCTCTCTCTTTCTCCCTCTCTCTCTTTCTCCCTCTCTCTCTCTCTCCCTCTCCTCTCTCTCTCTCTCTCTCTCTCTCTCTCTCTCTCTCTCTCTCTCTCTCTCTCTCTCTCTCTCTCTCTCTCTCTCTCTCTCTCTCTCTCTCCCCCTCTCCCTTCAGCCATCAGATTGCAAACAACTGTCTGCATGTCTCCCTCCTTCTTTCTCTCTCCTCTCTCTCTATCTCTCCCTCTCTCTCCCTTCCTCTCCCTCCCTCCCTCACCTGTAGTCTCTCTGTGTAAAGGCTGGGTAGTCCTTGGTACAAGACCCATCAGGCTGCACCAGAAGTTGTTCACATGTATGTCTCCCATTCTCTCTCCCTCTCTCTCTCCTCTCTCTTTGTCCTTTTCTCCCTCTCACTCTCTGGCTCTTTCTCTCTCCCTCCCTCTCCCGCCTCCCCCTCTCCCTCCAGCCATCAGATTGCAAACAACTGTCAGCATGTCTCCCTCCTTCTTTCTCTCTCCTCTCTCTATCTCTCTCTATCTCTCCCTCTCTCTCCCTTCCTCTCCCTCCCTCCCTCACCTGTAGTCTCTCTGTGTAAAGGCTGGGTAGTCCTTGGTACAGGACCCATCAGGCTGCAGCAGACAGTTGTCCGCGTGTACGGGATGGCTCAGGTCTTGCCGCTGACTTTTGCTATCTGCAACACAGACAGTACTGTAGAGAAGCATATCTTGTCCTAAGAGTTTTACGGCACTTGCGACAGGACATGTGTGTGTCATTAAAGTAAAAGACACACACAAAAAATCCATGTCTGACATACCAGGACATGTGTGTGTCATTAAAGTGACACAGTAAAACCCATCTCCAGCACACCAGGACCAGTGTGATTTTTAGTTTTAGTAAAAGTTTTACGGCACTTGCAACACAATAAGGTCATATAAGTGCCGAAGATTAGAGGTGTTACAAGAGAGTAACAAACACAAAAAAAGAAGGAGCGGAGATTAAGACGATAGATGTTTGATAGGAAAGAGGAAGCAAACCACACCAGAGCACCCACCAATCCCCCACGACTAGTGTGTGTAGCTTAAATAACAGACAGACAAACCTATAAACTCTGGCACCACAACACATCAGATATATATAGTTACAGTAACTAAAAAAATAATGCACACATCTCCAACACCCCAAGACAAATGCGTGCGTAACACAAGACAAACCCACCATCTATGGCAGTCCGACACACCAGGTGAGTGTAGTCAAAGTACAGAGGCTTGGTCAGGTTAAAGTACTTCTCCACCAGCAAACGCGCGTCTTCACTCAGCTCCAAGAACGCGCGCAAGCCGAAGGTAGAGATCATGCCCATGTGCATCAGCTGGCAGGAGACCGACAGATATGTCACTGACAAAACACATGTGTCACTGACAAACAAACATGTGGCTGACAAACAAATATGTCGCTGACAAACAAATAATTTAAATATATCACTGACAGGCTCACTTAAAAGACCTGACACATCCACCTCATGAATAAACAACATGTTGAAGGCTCCTGGCACAAACCATCCCTAACATCAAAGTTCAATATTCCTACACTGCAAAATCCTACAGTTCAAAACTGATATAATTTTCCATCACCTCTCAGAACATCCAGATATGTGAACAAATATTTTTCAACACTTGAAAATTAATGAGACAGGACATTCTCAATGTTCATTCAAACTACCAGCACAAGATAGCTCTGTTTCTGTTTCAGAGGGTAGAATCGACCTTTCCTGAGTGTTCCTGTTTGTACCAGAAGCCATCCATGTACAAAAGTTAACAATCAGTAACTATAAGGCGTTTGTCTGGCTGTTTATCCTAACTACTAGTATTAGAAAAGTTCCTCTGCATTAAGACCCTCCAAGTTATGACTTCCTCACAGATATACTCCTATTATAACTTATTTTTGTACTTAATATTCCCTTGTCTGCATAAACAAACCTGTGAACAAATGCACAGATTACAACCTGATTGTGTTTAGGAGGTTAATTTTAAAAATTTTACGACCATGGAAATTCAGCAGGCAATCTGTACTGAATTCCTAATGTAATTAACAATAATTCACGCGCCCCGTCGACAAAATTTTGATAATATAGGAGGCATGCTTCAACCCTGCCTGTCAGTGGTCAGAGCCAACCTAAGATACAACATCCCAACAGAGAGATGGAGATATCGATAAAAATTCTCCCCACATCAGAATCAAACTCAAGTCTTCTGTATGCCATGACCAAATGCCTAATTTCTACACCAATAACACCTATACTAAATTCTTTTTATGGAACACAGAAAAAAAGTTATATGTGAAACCCCGGCAACAAAAAATACCAAACTGCAAGAATGACGACTAAGAACATCATCTTGAGATTTATAACCTATGCTCCCTTAGTGTATGGGTTTAATGCCCCAATCAACACGAGACTTCCGAATTGTACGTTCGTCTCTGATAGGACCGAGCCAATTAATGGGTTGAGAGTCTTAAAAACTCCACAAAACAACAAGAGTCCAAGAACGCCCGGTGTGGGATTTGAACCAGGGTCATCTGCTCCGCAGTCCAGCATGATACCAACTGGGTTAATAGAGTACCCTAAACATAGAGCTTGCTTTTGAGCGGGGATTTGTGCTATACAAATGCTATCACTTATTATTATTAACTGCAATAGAATAAAGGCAGAAAGAAGAAACTCTTGCTGTTTTTTCAGCAGTGCATAACATTTACCTGTTTGAGTCAATCTGTATGTAGTGGTACATCTACACTTTGCATATATCGTCACCTCAGAACTAGTTTGTCCAAAGTTTACTTAACCCTATCCGTACGTTGTGTTTTACTGTCGTATCCATATGACATGGGGAACGCTGAGCCACCACTTTCCAAAGAGGAAATTTACTCGTTAATCCAATCCGTACATTTTGCATAGCAGTCTGTAAAAATGATTTTTTTGGAGAAATACTGAAAGTTTCAAATAGATCTTCCTAATAGAAGTATTCTAAAATGTGAAGAATACAACCCTGGGGGTAAAAAATGACCCCAGGGCGTACAGATAGGGTTAAATAAAGAAGCACTTTGGAAAAAAATAGTTCTGAGACAATGATGATATACACTCACTCGAGACTTGTCTCTCCCCCCCCCCCCCCCCCCACCCCCACCCCCAACCGACCTACTACAACCACCTGCCTTATAACACTTCATCTACTACTCACAAAAGGAAGTCATAACTCGGAGAGGCCTGAGAAGCTTCAAATTAAGAAATTGTTAATATATTAAATAAGCGTAAAATAGCAATTACACTAAAGCGAACATAAAAAATGAAAATATTACTGAAATGTAAAATAATCTATAAATAAACAGTGTTCGTGCGTCTTAGTACTACAGCTAAAGAGGTAAAGTGAGTTCAATTTTGGCCATGTTGCCAAGTGTTTACTGTATCAAAGAAAAGAAACATTAATTTCCATTCTATAGCTAGATTTATCTGTCTAACTAGTTGTCAAAGTCAAAACGGTGAACACAATGATCAAATCCAGATAGCATGGTGTGTACTCTGGGCTCACAGATACTGATGGTACAATAGTCTATGTCTGTGCACAACTGCAGACAGACCTACTGTCTACATAGTGAAATAGCTTCTCCTTCAATGTGCATACTGTAAAAAAGCTTCTCCTCCAATGTTCATATTGTAAAATAGCTTCTCCTCTAGCATTCATACTGTAAAATAGCTTCTCCTCCAATGTGCATACTGTAAAATAGCTTCTCCTCCAATGTGCATACTGTAAAATAGCTTCTCCTCCAATGTGCATACTGTAAAATAGCTTCTCCTCCAATGTTCATACTGTAAAATAGCTTCTCCTCTGACGTCCATACTGTAAAATAGCTTCTCCTCTAACGTTCATACTGTAAAATTGCTTCTTTCTCCAATGTGCATACTGTAAAATAGCTTCTCCTCTGACGTCCATACTGTAAAATAGCTTCTCCTCTAACGTTCAGACTGTAAAATTGCTTCTTCTCCAATGTTCATGCTGTAAAATAGCTTCTCCTCCAATGTTCATATTGTAATATAGCTTCTCCTATTACAATAATTTTGAACAATTCTCTCTTCCAAATTTTTTCCTACTCAATGACTGTACAGAATAATAGTAGATGGAATGACATCCGTTGAAAAAAACACTTCTTTATAGAATACGTTTATCCTATGATTACAGCGAACTTGCCAGATATCTTCATAAACAAGCCACTTGATATCCCCTCCTCCCCCGAACCCCTCTTTTTTGTTACTACCCTTGAAAGATAAGTGTGTGAAGCTTAGAGAAAACCCATCGAAAGACAGGACAGCATTATTCTGAAAGCCATTTGCAAAAATAACCATAAAGGTAGGTTTGTTCCTCAAAATATGAACACTAAAACATTTTGTTTCTCATTTTTAAATATCTTAATAATTTTGTTAAACAAACAAGCAAAACGATGAGACAAAGCAGCAGAATTCTAAGTAGTATAAAAATAAATACAAAATATAGCAAAATGAAAATACAAAAAGTAACAAACTGAGAACGTAGAATGTAATAAACAGACTGAGAATGTAACATCCCACCACAGGGACAGGTTTTCTCGCAGCCACACACACTTGGTGAGTAAACAAATCCTGAACAGAAATCACAAACTAGAAGGCACAGGGAGTGAGTAAGTGCCATTATCTACGAAATAATTTTTTTTTAACGTGAGGCAAAAGCAAAGGAAGTAAAAATCTGACCAAAGAATGAAAGCGTAGCGAAATATTTCCCTAAAGACAACCTCAGCGAGAAACTGCATCTTTAGCCTCGCTTCATAATGGGGATTTTCTTTGTTTTGAGAAAAAGAAGAGGGTAGAAAAAAACCTTTCCATAGACCTCGCAACATCCCAAACACCAATGATGAAGGACTCTCTTTTATAACAACAGGGATGAGCTCAACCTTCTTTTCAATATGCTGAGCTTTTTAACAACAGGAGTGGAAAGTAAAACAAGAAAGTTTTATCTTAGAATAAAGTAAACAATAAAATTTCACAGCATTTTTTTTTCTAATCAGGAACACCAAATATTCATATTTTTTCTGATTCTCAATACTGCTCATCCCTGAAAGAACAAAATTTTTTCTTGCCAAAAGTGGCTCAGATGTCAGTCCCCCAAAATGAGCAAGACAATTTATCCTCCAAACAACATTGGTCTGTGACAACATTGCACAAGTCCACAAGATGGGACCAACTACCAAATCATTAGTAAAGCATTAGTGAGAGAAATACTACTGTCTACACACCTGAAAACATCCTTCATGCCGATACGTTAAGTGTGCGTGCTTCAGAGAATCGGCAAGTTTGTCTTCCGACACGCTCACGATTACCTCGCCACTTGAACTCATTCAAATACTAAAAACTCAAAAGTGAAAATATTGGTGTCAAACAGAACCATGCTCTGTTGCAAATTACTCGACTTACTCGGCCATCCAGTTTTGTGGCACCAAATATTTAACCTTACCTTAACATGGATCATTGAAATAGGCAATATGTATCTTACACTTTTACTCCTTGACTTACACCCTTGTTCTCCGACTACATCATGTGTGTCAAAGACACATTAATTTACAGCATAATAATTTTGTAGGAGAATCAAAGTATCAGCATTCATTTTCATGCTTGAAAGAGACTTAATAGTAGAAAAGCAGAAAGGTGGGTAATCTCACTCAAAAGAGGAGACAAAAAACACTTCTGGTATTCTGATATACTAACCTTGGAAGCCCTATAAATAGTGATGCCTTGGTACAATTCATGTTCGGTGTGAGGAGAGACGAAGAAGGTTTTCGATTTGAGGTGGTCATACCCGTCACCAACTAGAGCCCCACTCTACAAGCAGCACAATAAGAAAAAGCAAGCCAAATGAAAGTATGATGGAAAAAAAGAAATATGATGTAGTTCAGGGAGGGGGAGCAGGGGGGAGGTACATTATGCCACTGCTTTCACTTCAAATGGCTGTCGAGGGGAGGTCATCTAGGTCAAATCAAAGCCATTCTTGCGCTAGGAGGAAGGAAAACCAACAAAACAATGTCTAATAAGGCAAGTCTATTTTTATTTTTCAAAACAAGCTCATTCATTCTTCAACAAGACCTTCTCAGTCTGTCTTTCAAGGGAAGAATAGTTCACACACACACATACATGAAGGCAGCAGCACTCTCTTTCAGCCTGAAAAGAAAGTCTCGACACACGTAAAATCTGTTCACAAATCTCAGCCTTCCACACCCTTCTACATAATCACCTGCTTGGGAGAACTTCAACACTGCATTAGCATGCTTCCTCCCCCCCCCCCCAAACCACACAAATCCCAATAAACTACTGTCCCTCTGCAATCTGCACATGACACTATGTCAAATTGCAAGCCATAGTTCTATTTCATAACAATATTCAGAAAAGACCAATAGAGTCAACTTCTCTTTCACAACATACAAGGAAATCACATGACATCATCAAAGAGCAACTTTTGCCCTTCATGAAACGTCTTGAGCACTCACTCAGAAACAGAATTGCCACGTCTACTTTCAAGGTGCATTCTAACACACAACTTGTACAATTCTGACACCACCCAAATATCCAACCAACTGATGACTGGCATGATCAGCAAGCCAACCCTTTCATGAATCCTGGAGAAGAGGAAGGAGCAGCTATGGCATTTTTTTACCACCTGCAATGATACCTCCTATCCTCCAACCAAAGAGAAAAAAGAACGACACCATCCGCATCATGTCAATACTAAGATTTGCTTCATGTCGACACTTCAGGAACCAGATTGACACAGCCATCCTGCACCATTTTGACACCATTTTGACATCATTCACACCATTCTGACATGACTTGCATCGTTTTGGCACCCCTTGAGTCATCCAACAGTATAATCAAACTCATCTCCTTTCAATAGTGAACAGCCTTTTGAACAGGTGAAAACAGAGACACCGACAGAAAGCTCTTGGGTTAATTGCGACAGGAAAAGGAAAATGGAAAAGAACGTTGGAAGGAGAAAAAAATGAGAAAGGTTTGAGGTATTGGTTATTCAGTCATTATAATATTGCCACAGGATATCAAAGGAGAAATGAGGGCATACAGCTACGACAGAGCAAGCAGCAAATCCTGAAAACGTCAAGAACAGAAGATCCAACATCCAGACCAGCAATTTCCAGTGCATGTTCGTTTGTGTGAGGGTTTGAGTGTGTTCATATGTGTGTGTGTGTGGGGGGGGGGGGATTGGAGGGGTGGGGGGGTAGCTCTCTCTCTATGAAAGAAAATATTTACCAGGAGCAGGAAGACAGGTGGTGAGCCATTCAAAGGCAAATATCAACAAAAGATTTTTTTTCTTTCATTGAAAAGTATATTTCTTCTTCTTTTTTTTTTCAAACTGTTTAGGTTCCCTCCAGGATAACAGATTTCAAATCCTGAAATAATTGGCAGGCCAATATGAGACACAACTCACTCAGAAATAAATTCATTATTCAAGGACACATTCTTTACTATCAAAAGGTGGAGGGGGGGGGGATCAGACCATAAACAGAAAAGAAGGAAAAGTTCATAGCAGGGGATAAAAGTTGTAAAATGCTGGTCTAGGCGAAGGAGTTAAGGTGAGGAAAGAATCTTGAGATGAGAACAATGAGAAAAAATAATAAATCAAAATAGCAATTCATATAATTTTTGCTTTGTGTCCACCCCTGGAATAGAACAATCCTGAAAAAAAAATCAATTGAATAACAGTCACAGATTTAAACAACCGGAAGATTAGAAAAGATTTTTTTTAAAAACAACTCCCATTGGTCAGCGGAGGCGAGGCATTGAGACCAAAAATCTAGAGCAAGCTGGCAGGTACGGAAAAGATAAATACACACCGCTATAGTTTTTATAATGAGGAAAACTACAATAAACACCAATAGCCTGAGCAGAATATACAACCAGAAGCAAAAAAAAGAGAGAGAGAAAGCTCTACATCGTCACTGCATTCAACAGCTGTTTTTTTTTTAACTTTGTCTACGTTATTTGTTTTGTTTGTTTATTTGTTTGGGTTTTTTTGTTTGTTACTTATTTTGTTTTCATTTGAATCTAAGTTTTTGAGTGCTGGTCTCCTGAACCATCAGGCTCTGCACACCAGAGCACCCATCAACCACCCACACACCTGAGTTCCTGATGGAAAACGTGTAGATAATCTGGTTTTAACCCCTTCACAGTGAGGAGTATTGTTTGGTGAGTGGAAAGGCAATGGTTAAAGTGCGTTGCATAGTGTGCTTGAGCTTTGAGGGTTAATAATTTAAACACTCAACTAAAATCTATGCTGACAGCTGATTATTTCAAACAGATGGTACTTGTGACAATTACATGAGAAAACATGTTTAAAAAGAAGGAAATATTGTGAGACAAAGTGGGAACAGCACACCGGCCTCAGGTATTACGACCAGGTTTATTTTCTGCGACATAAGAACGGAACTCTTTGGCTCTACAGTCATGAACAGGAAAAATACGTCTATAAATCTACAGAAGCTCAGTGCATTTTCATAGTTCATGTTTTGGGGTTTTTAAGGCTTTGATATGGCATTGCATGGTGTGGGTTCAAGTCCCCTTTCAAACCTTTAGGAACTTTTTAAAAGGTGAAATGGGAAGGGGTGTTCATAGTGTTTTTGTTGGGTCTTTTTTTTTTGTCTTTTTTTTTGTCTTTTTTTTTGGAGGGGGGGAGGGGCATTAGCGTCTGCTTACCACATCAGCCTTCTGCAGTGAGAGACAACAGAGAAAAATATACACAGAGGGGGAAAGAAGGTCTTTGTTGGTTGGAAAAGAAAAGAGGCGCATCAACACAATAATGGTCATTTAGTACTGCGACTAAGAAGGTACACAGATGCTGGGAATGTCTCTTATTCTTTATTTGGGAAAGCAGGCTGAGAAGGAGATACAAGCCGACAGCAGAGGCTGTTTTGTGAATACAGACAAGCTGATAGAGACAGAGCTGAGAGAGTTTGTTCGCTTTGAGCTGGGGGGGGGGGTGAAAAAAACATCGACAAGATTTTCGTACTCTTTTAGTGCAGGAAAATGTGAGACAGTCGGGCAGACGTGATAGAGGTTGTGGCAAGGTGTATGATATGCCAACAGAGACGTCTGACGTCCCACGCTACTAGGCGAGAGAATAAAAGACAGACCAAAGATTAGAAGGATTGTGGTTATTGTACGAGAAGGCATGCAGCTGGGCAATAAGTCAGAAGAAGATGGAGAGGAGAGGAGGAGAAGGGCATAGACAGTCTCCTGCAAGGGCTACAGGGGCTGCAAATGACGCAGTAAAAAAAGAAGGGGAGGGTCTTAATTTTCTTTTAAAACACAAAAAGAACATAAATACAAAAACAGCAGTCATTTCGCACAGGACGACAGACAAACAGACAGACACATAGACAGAGTAAAAAAACAGTACCTAACAGTGTCATCTTCTAACCATTCAACCTAAAGAGGCTAAAGCAAAGAAAAAGAATAGGAACTCAAAATGACAGTTGGCTCATAACCAAAGAAAGGAAACGTTTATCATCACATCTTTGATGCACAAAAGTCAGGACAGTTGAGAGACACAAACAGCACTCAACCAGGGCCCTCACTTAACAAATGATCCAACATCATCGTTGTCAAAGGACAATTTTGGGAAAAAGATCCCTTGTCTGTAACCTATATATTGCTTTACACATTACATGAGGGATCGGCTCCATTGTGCCATCAGCGTGGCATATCTCATCTGACAGCTAGGAAATGGGAACGATTGCTTAAACTCTCACTTAAGTGACAGTTTGATTACTATGGCTCTCATGGGATAGAGCGCTCTGTACACGCAATCTATCATTACTATTATTATTCTTATATATTTGACAATCAATTCCCTACCAGAGTCAATCTGTGTTCTGCTCTGTATGTTAAATAGCACCTGACACGGTAAGGGTGTGTCCGCACTACACGCTTTCAGACAAACACCAACATATATGAAAAAAGGTAAAACGCAGAAAACTGTTCTTTTGTTGCTGTTAATCCAGTAGCCTTGAGCATGTGCCCTTCAGCCCAATGCCACGTCAAAAAATGTGAAAATCTTGTTAAAAAATGTGAAAGTCTTCAACGTTTGTTCCTTGCTGCAGTAGGGGGTACTGTCTGTGGTAGGTACGGGAGGAAGAAGTTACCATCAGAGATCCTGCGGTTAAACTGCTCTTCTAAAACACTAAATAAAAGGAACAACTGCGTCGTGTCTACTGATAGGCCTACTAAAAAGTAATTTTCTGTACTTGAATTTTTATGTTGGTTGACGACATCCTTCCAGAAGCAAACAGCACCCAGCACCGCTTTACCTACCCAACTAAGTAGCCCTGGTTATAAGCAGAGAACTTGTGAGTGAGAGAGAAGGTGAGTGATTGAAGGACTGAGTGAGGGAGAAAGTGAGTGAAAGAGAAAAAAAGTGGAGGAGTGAGTGAGTGAGAGAGCGAGCGAGTGAGTGGAGGAGTGCTTTGTGCGCACAAACAGGGTTTGCTGTGCAGGGACTAAGCAGGGTGCCAGAACACAACAGAGAAACAGCTCAACAGAGCAACAGAGGAGATGAAATACAAGAGGGTGGGGGGGGGAGCGCCATGAAAAGGGGAAAGGGGGATAGTCATGGTTTCTCTCAACATTTCTTCTGCATCCTGAAGTGCAATGAGCTGAGAAACAAGACCCTTCTCTAAGTATCGTTGCTTGAACAAAGAAAATAACAAATATCGTCTATCTTGAGTTATTCGTAAAATTTTGGAATGAAAGATTTTTTAACAAGAGAGACAAAATTCTGCTTAAAACCAAAATAATAAAATATGGCTATCTTGATTTTTTTTTTTAAATAAAAGAGACAACATTGAGCCTAAAAACTACCTAAGCCACAAGTCATACATCTGGGAAGATGAACTAGAACTCCACGCTGCCACACCGTCAGGGCAATTCCCTAGCTACGCCGCATTATGCTGAAAGGCACATGCCACTACTGCACCTACACTCACTGATACGACAATATCTAAACGTATATGGTTCCCCGTCCACCACACGTGCAGGGGACACAAATATCTGGGACACTATTCTCCACTGCTAAGACAGTCAGACATACCTCGGCCCACACCAAAAGCCAACAACACTCACAAGGGCTATAAAATACGCAGTAAGAAACGAGTCCACTAAAATGCTTCGATTCCACCACTACAAGGGTCTGCTTGTCTATATCTCTTTTTGTTACTTAACTTACTGCTCACAACTGTCACTTGAAAACCGTTTTCGCTGTCAGTTTAATTTTCTCTTAGATTTTGGTAAACTCTTCATACTTTTAATTTTGAGTAACTGAACGAACACATATGTATATCAATATCATGGGTTTGTCATCTGATTTGAGGAGACCATTTCACCAAAAGTACCCACACCACGTATGCAAGCGTGCACATGAGTGTGCCTGCGTGAGTGTGAGTGTATGCGTGTGTGTGTCTGAGAATGTATGTGTGTGCGTTTGTGTATGTGTATGCCGAACCACAAAAAGACCAGCACCGCATAGCGTGGCAAGTACCTGAGCGACCTGAACTAACGAAAGACCAGCAAACATTTCATTGATGGTGTGGGGAGACTTTTGCCCTTCATAGCCGTCTCCAGCTTTACCCATTTCCTGGAAAGAAAACACATGCAACGAGGTGCAGACTCAGTACTCACTGGGAGGTTAACCAGACGCCAACAACATGCAGAGGTGAATGGAGGCAGACTGAAAGCTTCACAGTGATTAGACTGATGTGAATGACAGTGATGATGATGGGGATCATAGAAATTAACTGTGTTTTTAGATGATGATGATGATGTATGTAAAGGACCCGTGTTTTTAGATGACGATTTTTAATATGTAAACAGTTTACGATGATGATGATGATGATGATGATGATGATGATGATGATGATGATGATGATGATGATGATGAAGATGAGGATGATGATGGTGATGGTGATGGTGATGATGATGATGATGATGATAATGATGATTATTTATGAAGTAACTTTGTTTTTACATGATAACTTTCAATATTGCAATATGTGAACAGTTGCTTATGATGATGAAAATGAAAATAGCAATGATGATGATTAATAAACACCTGAGCTGCTGATTCAAACACCAAGCTATTGGCATTATTTTATTCCTGAGATCGGCATGGTCCTGCATGTTCTTCTTTCCGATGACAGCGAGGATGAAGACAACAGTGGCAATGATGACAATGATGACAATAATGATAATGATTTCAACAGCAAACATTGTCAAAATGAGGTGCTTTCCATTGAGCAAGTACAAAAACTACCCCCTACAGTAGAATTGATGTTCACTGATTTTGTAATTATCACAACCTATATAATTATTGAACGCCATGATCATTTCTCCACTTGAAGCTATTCTTTTTCTTTAGGACAAAAGGGGATGCGAAATTAACTTTTTACGAATGGTGAGTATTTTGCTTCATTTTACGCAGTATGCACCTCATTTCGATGAATCATAAGATGTGTATTTCCATTGACCTTCAGCTCATGACCTTGTCCAAAAAATAACACTGTAGAAAGTAATTATTACGCATTCTACAACAACAACAAAAAAGGTTCAGTAATGTAAATGGTGTGTTCATTACTCTTTTCAAAGAAGCTTCTCTGTCGGCACTAGGTAGAATGAAAAAAAAAAGCTTTTTCAAAGAATGTAGACGATGAACAGGAAGCGACAGTTATCATATTTCTCTGCCTCAGTTCAAGATATCGGTACTCCATACTTTGATGGGGGGAAAAAGACCTTTACACTCATGTGATAGGTATGGATGTTACCTCTCCCTTTCATCGTTCCCTCTATCAGATTTGATTACAAAGTAGAAGAAATATAGTTGCAATTGTAGGAGTTTAACGCCCCCATTAACATAAATTAGATCACTTAGAAGACAGACTTCCTTAACCCTGTCAGTCTAGGCCAACCCACACTAAGAGGAATAACCCACACCATTTAATTCCCCCTTAGGTGAGAGTCACTCTATTTTCTATTGTCCAAATTTTGTCCATCAAAGGAATTGTTGATTCCTCCCAGCCTGACTCGGCCCAGTGACAGAAACATGCAATGTTTGACCCATGATAAGAGAATGTGCACAATCTTTACTATTTCATTATGGAGACTCTACTTCATAAATGAGTGTTTTTGACGATGACTTAAACACTGAAAAAATTTACTTGCTTATAAACTCACACTATGAGGGATATAACTTCCAAACAGACAGAGAGAGATACTAAATTTTTTTAAACTCCCAACACAGAGGATTTCTTCGATGGTAGGCTTGGCTATGATAAAAATACATCCCCGACATTTCTTTTGATCAGAACACAATGTTTTATGTTACTGTTGTACTGTAAAGCGCTCAGAGCCTGTATGGTTGAGCTCTATATAAATGCCCTGTACATTATCATTCAGAGGTAACCTCAGTTTTTTGTTTATTTTCTAGTACAGAACATGTGTCTGAGCCAACCAACATCAGCGGTCAGAATATACTTTTATTTCCACTGAGAACGAAACAATGTGAGCATCAGAAGGCAGCTCAGTGCACGGGAAGTTGAAACAAATGGGTGGCCATTGTTGGCAAAGAATGTGAAAACAAAAGGGTTAAACACCAAAAGCCAAAAACGTCCATCAAAGGCAAGTAGTTACATCTCAAGTGATGTGTGGCTGTGCAGAAAGCACAAGATTGTGCCACAAGTTATTCGAATAAGCGTCATCACAACAGTAAAAGCGTTGAAGCCTTGTCAATAAACCTCAGATATGTTATATGTTATGTGGTGCGTGAGTGTTCGTGTGTGAAGTGTGCATTTGTGAGTGTGTGAAGTGTGTGTGTGTGTGTGTGTGTGTGTGTGTGTGTGTG